AACAAATAAAAAACTTTAAAAAAAAAAAAAAGAAGAACCAAATAGAAATTTTGGAGATGAAGTCTTCAATAAGTGAAATAGAAAGCATTATTGAGGGGCTGGCGCCGTGGCATAGCAGGTAAGCCACCGCCTGCAGTGCCAGCATTCCATATGGGTGCCAGTTTGAGTCCCGGTGTCTCCACTTCCAATCCCGCTCTCTGCTGTGGCCTGGGAAAGCAGAAGATGACGGCCCAAGCCCTTGGGCCCCAGCACCCGCGTGGGAGACCCGGAAGAATCTCCTGGCTTCAGATTAGGACAGCTCTGGCGGCTGCGGCCATTTGGGGAGTGAACCAGCGAATGAAAGATCTCTCTCTCTCTCTCTCTCCAGCCCTCTGTAACTCTGCCTTTCAAATAAATCTTTTTAAAAAATGTATTATTGAGAGCTTTGACAGAATAGACCAAGTGAAAAAAAAAGAATTTCTGACCTCGAGTACAGGAATTTTCAAACAACTCAGGCAAAAATAAAGAGAAAAGAATTAAAACAGTGAATACAGTCTACAAAATACATGGGATAACATTAAACAGCCAAACATTCCTGAAGGAGATGAAAAGGAGAGAGGGGTTGAGAACCTACTAAATCAAACAGTTGAGAATCTCCCAGTTCTTGAAAGACATGGAAATCCACATAGAAGCAGCTCGAGGAACCCCACGCAGACTCAACCAAAAAATGTCTTCTCCAAGATATGTCATCATCAAATTGTCAAAAGCTGAAGCCAATGAGAGAATCCTAAAGACAATAAAAGTGTCAATTAGGTTAACATCAGACGTCTCAGCAGAAATCCTATGGGCCAGAAGAGAGTGGGATGATATATACAAGATCTTAAAAGAAAAAACCTTCCAACCAAGAATACTGTATCCAGCGAAGCTACCCTTTAAAAGTGAAAGAGGGGCCAGCACCGTGGCTCACTTGGCTAATCCTCCGCCTTCGGCACCGGAATCCCATATGGGCGCCAGGTTCTCGTCCCGGTTGCTCCTCTTCCAGGCCAGCTCTCTGCTGTGGCCCGGGAAGGCAGTGGAGGATGGCCCAAGTGCTTGCGCCCTGCACCCGCATGGGAGATGAGGAAGAAGCACCTGGCTCCTGGCTTCAGATTGGCATAGCTCCGGCCATAGCAGCCATTTGGGAGGTGAACCAACAGAAGGAAGATCTTTCTCTCTGTCTCTCCCTCTCACTGTCTGTAACTCTACCTGTCAAATAAATAAATCTTAAAAAAAAAAAAAAGTGAAAGAGAAAGGGCCAGCACTGTGCCATAGCGGGTAAAGCTGCCACCTGCAGTGCCAGCATCCCATATGGCCGCCAGTTCGAGTCCAGGCTGCTCCACTTCCGATCCAGCTCTCTGCTATGGCCTGGGAAAGCAGAGGAAGATGGCCTAAGTGCTTGGGCCCCTGCACCCACATGAAAGACCTGGAGGAAGCTCTTGGATAGGTATGGCTCCGGTTATTGCAGCCATCTGAGCAATGAACCTATGGATGTAAGAGCTCTCGCTCTCTCTTCCTCTCTATAACTCTACCTTTCAAATAAATAAATCTTTTTTAAAAAAGTGAAACAGAAAGTAAGTATTTTCTGGATAAGCAAAAACTAAGAACTACCACGCCAGACCAGCTTGACAACAAATTCTGAAAGGCGTCCTGCATTAGCACAGCACATCACGAAAATGCACGACCCCGCCAAACTCACTAACAGAGCATAATCATTATCCAGTGAACAATACGACAGGTCTTAGAGACTTCGGTTGGCTGAATGCACAAAAAACATGACCCCACTCTATGCTGCCTGCAAGAAACTCACTTCACAAAGATCAGAGACTGAAAGTGAAGGGTTGGAAAAAGAGACACCACACAAATGGAAACCAAAAGGGAGCAGGCATAGCTACGCTTTTATCAGATAAAAGACTTTAAAACAAAAACTGTGAAGAGAGATAAAGGAGGACATTGTAATTTGATAAAAGGTTCAATTCAGCAAGAAGACCACCCAGATACCGACAGAAGATACTATTAGACCTAAGGGGAGAGAGGGACCCTATACAACAGTGGGTGACTTCAACACCCCACCCTCATCAGTGGACAGATCATCCACACCGAACAGACACACAGAGCTGAAACTTACCACTGAGCCAACGGACCTAACAGACATTCACGGGACATTTCCCCAACAGCTACACAACACACATTCCTCTTCTGAGCACATGGACCATTTTCTAGGACAGACCACACATTAGGCCACAAATCAATTCTCAGAAAATTTAAAGAGACTGGGGGCCAGCACCATGGCATAGCGGGTTAAGCTGCCATCTGTAATGCCGGCATCCCATATGGGCACTGGTTCAAGTCCCTGCTGCTCCACTTCTGATCCAGCTCTCTGCTAAGGCCTGGGAAAGCAGAAGATGGCCCAAGTCTATAAATCCCTGCACCCATGTGGGAAACCCAGAAGAAGCTCCTGGCTTTGGATCAGCTCCGCCCCAACCAGTGCGGACATTTGGGGAGTAAACCAGTGGATGGAAGACATCTCTCTCTCTCTGCCTCTCTGCAACTCTGCTTTTCAGATAAATCAATTTTTTTAAAAAAAGATTCACTTAAAGAATTTAAAAAAAGATTTAACACCCCTTCCTTATTAAAAATTCTGCACATATTAGGTATAGAAGAAACATTCCTCAAAATTATAAAGGCTATAGATCACAAACCAACAGCCAGTATCACACTGAATGTGGAAAAACTCAAAGCATCTCCCCTCAGATCTGGAACAAGACAAGGATGACCGCTTTCACCACTCTTTCAATATAGTACTGGAAGTTTTAGCAAGGACAATTATGGAAAAGAAGAAATCAAATTATCCATGTTTACAGATGACATGACGTTGTAATGGAAAAATCTAAACACTCCACCAAAAAGCTTTAAGAATAGAAAACCAACTCAGTAAAGTTGCAGATTACAAAATAAACATACAAAAAATAGCAGCTTTTTTGTGCACTAATGATGAACTCAACAGAAACAGCAATCAAGAAATCTCATTCACAATACCCACAAAAAATTCAATATTTAGGAATAAATTTAACAAAAAAAGTCCAAGATCTACACAAAGAAAATTATCACACACTGATGAAACAAATCAAGGACACAAAAAAAGGTGAAGATATTCCTTGCTCATGGATCAGAAGAATCCATATCATCAAAGTGTCGAGAAGCCAGCATTGCAGCGCAGTGGGTAAAGCCTGCAGTGTCAGCATCCCATAGGGGTACCAGTTCGAATCCTGGCTGCTCCACTCCTGAGCTTCCTGCTAATGTGCCTGAGAAAGCAGCAAAAGACGGCCCAAGTGCTTGGGCCCCTGCATCCACGGGGGAGACCTGGATGAAGCTCCTGGCTCCTGGCTCCAACCTGGCCTGGTCCTGGCTTTTTTTTTTTTTTTTTTTTTTACAGGCAGAGTGGACAGTGAGAGACAGAAAGGTCTTCCTTTGCCGTTGGTTCACCCTCCAATGGCCGCCACAGCTGGCCTGCTGCAGCCCGTGCACCGCGCTGATCCGATGGCAGGAGCCAGGTACTTATCCTGGTCTCCCATGGGGTGCAGGGCCTAAGCACTTGGGCCATCTTCCACTACACTCCCGGGCCACAGCAGAGAGCTTGCCTGGAAGAGGGGCAACCGGGACAGAATCCGGTGCCCCGACCAGGACTAAAACCTGAGGTGCCAGCGCCACAGGCGGAGGATTAGCTTAGTGAGCCACGGCGCCCACCCCTGGCCCTGGCTCTTACAGCCATTTGGGAAGTGAACCAACGGATAGAAGAGTTCTCTCTCTCTCTCTCTATTCGGGGAGTGAACCAACAAATAGAAGATTTCTCCCTCTCTCTCTCTGCCTCTCCTTCTCTGTAACTGACTTTCAAATAGATAAACAAATTTTAAAAAAATAAAATGTCTATATTACCTAAAGCAATTTACAGATTCAATGCAATCCCTATCAAAATATCAATGCCATTCTTTACACAGTAAGAAAAAAACACTAAAATTCATATGGAATCATGAAAGACCCCCAAATAGCCAAAGCAATCCTGAGCAAGAAAAACCAAGCTGGGGCAGCCAGCACTGTGGCATAGCAGGTAAAGCCACCACCTGCAGTGCCGGCATCTCACAAGGGAGCTGGTTCAAGCCCTGGCTGTTCCACTTTGAATCCAGCTCCCTGCTAATGGGCCTTGGAATGCAGTAGAGGACGGGCCAAGTGCTTGGGCCCCTGCACCCACGTGGGAGACTCAGAAGCTCCTGGCTCCAGGCTTTGGAGCAGACCAGCTCCAGCCACTGTGGCCACCTGAGGAGTGAACCAGCGAATGGAATATTTTGCATATGTGCACGTGCTCTCTCTCGGCCTTTCAAAATAAATAAATCTCAAGCTTGAGTTCTTAGGCTCGTTCCTCCTAGCTCCCACCCGTTCCTCTCACACGTGGGGCTGGCTCCCCAGAGCATGTCTGCTCACACACACCCCCTCTCCGCTCTCTCAAACGTCCCCTGGGGAACTTTCAGTACAGTCTTTCCAGAACAGCTGCAGCTTTGAACACTTACGACACCCGTGCAACCTCCTAGGTCAGTTTTCTTCCCCACACCTGGATTCTTTCCCCTCTCAGAACCCCAAATGGTAATGGCGGCTACCCGTCCCTCTCCCCACCGGATTGCGAGCCCCATGGGGACAGGGAATTGGGTAAATTTCCTATTCACAGTACCGGCAGCCCCCAACAGAGCGAGCAGCACACAGGTGACTCACTGAAGCAGAGGATCAAGGCCACAGACACTGCCACCCAGGGCCCATCCCTTGAGTGCCTGACCCATTGGTCCATTTCCACAGCCACCAGGTGGCGCCAAGCACCCAACGCATCTCACCTGGATTTGGCTGGTGCCAGAAAAGGATGCAGGAGGGTTAGAGGCTGGGGGAGGGGGACAGTGGAGCGTGGTGTTTGCTTCGAAGGCAGGAAAAAATATTAGAACTCTGATTTAGATTTATTTTATCTCACCTTTTTTAAAATTTCTATTTTTTATAATGTACATAATATTTTAGTAGAGTAGTACATGTATATAATTTACAAATAAATAATTATACAATTAAGGAAGAGAACTAAAAATTGTTTTACGGACGGGAGGCACAACTAGTGCTCAGGGAAGCACAACTCTGGGCAGCGGGCGCCAGGGCCTGCCGCCTCCACTCACCTGCCCTGCAGAAGCCGCCGCACGGGAGGTCCGGGCAGCCCTTCCCGGTGCCACCCAGCCTTCTCAGTGTCACTGAAGTGCACATCTACTTCCCCTGAGCAAAGCGAAGGGGCCAGATGGTTCAGTCAGAAAACACGCTTCAGCTGATCCAACTTCATCCTCGGGACTTAAATCACTACATCGCTTCACGAACTCACACGTCCCTTCAATCCAGTGCGATTGGGCTTGCAACGTTAGGTACTCAGACTCAAGGCTGGCTTATCTTATTAACTAAACACGTTACCACTGAGGTCAACGCGCTGCAGGCCAAACTACAGGAACCTACTGAAACAACAAAAAAGATTTGCTCATCATCGCTACAAAGAGGGGGCCATGACCCCTACCCTGTGAATCTAAGGAGTGCAGGGTCGCATGGTCTGCTCTGTGCCGTGGCGGAGCTCTCCGTTCTTCCCAACATGTTCTCGGCTACGCCTCTGTGATTCACTACAAAGACCGGAGAACTCGCAACCATCACCGGCTTGTCCGTCCATCTTTTCCCAGCACCGACCATTGATGGCTTCCACGACCTTCCCCCACCAGGCTTCTTTGGGCTTGTTGGCAAGCGGCGATATGCAAGGCAGAGGGTCTTTCATTCGGGCCACAGAGACCTGCCCAAGAGGTCGCCCCTGGGGCTCAGAGACCTGGCAGCAGCAACTTACCGGCTGGTCCCACGGCACTCACACCCCTGGACTCCCGCGGACCGAGGGGGAGCGCGCACACGCCCTCTTTAGTCCAGAAGCGTCAACTGCAAGGGCAGCGTTAAGTCACAGGTCAGCCGGAAGAGGAAATGACGGGGGCTAAGAGCGGTCAGCGCAGTCTCCAGCAGGGCCACTGGGGCCCTCCCACGGGGCAGAAGGCGGAGCTCCGAAGCAAGCCTTGCCTTCCTCGGGTTTCACCCCCGAACTGCTGTCGCCTCCGAAGCCATCTTTAAGAGTTCCTTATACATATATATAATTCTTATATACATACACACTTGTGTCTGTATAAAAGGAGGCAGTCGTGCCCCAGCGGACCAAGGAGAGGCGGACGCACTTGTAGCGTCTGCTTGGCACTGGGAGGGGCGGGCCCGGTCCCCAGGCGGTCGCCATGGGAGGCAGGAGGGGCTGGCGTGGGCCCCGAGGTTGCTGGGAAGAGCAGGAAGAGGACGGTGCTGGTGGTCTGCAGACCCGCTGCTGCTCAACAGGAAGGAGGGGGAGAGCGGGCACTCCCACCGGGAAACCCCGAGCCCAGACCTGCCCTCGACCACAGGGCAGGCGCCAGCAGCAGGAGGCCCGGAGGACACTACGGCCCTTCCGGCTCCTCCCGGAAGTGGTGTATCGAGCATGCGCACTACCGGCCTACAAACCGGGGCTCGGCGGTGGAAGGGGGACAAGGGCTGGGGAGAGGGTCAAGGATGCAAGGACACAGAGGGCGGCCCGGGATGCGAGGAGACTGTAGCCACAAACGGCCACTCCACCGCCTTGGGCCCACAGGGCTCCCCGCACGCCCCGGGCTGCCCGTCAACTGCCTGGAGCTGGGTGCGAGAGGCGCCTGGCTGCAGTTGTGCTGAGCGCTCTGGGGGCGGGGCCCTCGTGTCCACGCCAGCTAAGTATCGGACCCAGTGGCATCCTTTGTGGCTTTGCTGCCAGTCACAGGCCCGTGGCTCTGGCTGAGGGCAGGGCTTGAGTGTGTCTTCCGAAGAGCAGGGTCGTCCCCTTCCAGGGTGGCCAGGCGGGCCTCAATCCGCTCCAGATCATCCGAGCCCACCTTGATTTTCACAGACAGGAGGTGGATGTAGGTCTCATAACGGCTTTTCTGGGGAAAGGACAGCAAAAGGCCAAAGAGAGTCAGAAGACGAACAATAAAACGAGAAACGCCTGTACTTCATATGACAGAAGACTCATTTCCTTAATGTTCCTCACAAATCAAGAAAAAGGGTTAGACCTATCTAATAAAACTAAGCAAGGACACACATAAAGTTCACTGGGGGTTTTTAAAATCCAAATAATTAGCGTTGACTTGTGGACTGACACCAAATTCACAGGCAAAAAAGAAAAAGCAGGACAAGCAGGACTACATCAGAGTGTTACATTTCTGTACACCCAAAGACATAATCAACAGAGTGAAAAGGCAACCTACAGGATGGGAGAAATATCTGCAAATCATGCATGAGATAAGGGGTTAACACCCGAATATGTACAAACTGCTGGAGCCAGCATTGTGGCACAGTGGGTTAAACCGACATTTCCAGCACCGGCATCCCATATCAGAGTGCTGGTTTGAGTCCCGGCTACTCCACTTCTAATCCAGCACCCTGCTAATGCACTGGGAAGCCAGTGGAAGGTGGCCCAAATACTAGAGCCTCTGCAACCCTTATGGGAGACCAAGATGGAGTTTCTGGCTCCTGGCTTCAGCTTGCTCCAGACCTGTTCATGTTCTCTCTCAGGGCCGGAGCTGTGGGAAGCGGGTTAAAGCCCTGGCCTGAAGCACTGGCATCCCATATGGGTGCCAGTTCTAGTCTCGGCTGCTCCTCTTCCGATCCAGCTCTCTGCTATGGCCTGGGAAAGCAGTAGAAGATGGCCCAAGTCGTTGGGCCCCTGCACCCACGTGGAAGACCTGGAATAAGCTCCTGACTCCTGGCTTCAGATCGGTGCAGCTCCGGCTGTTGCGGTCATCTGGGGAGTTAACCAGCAGATGGAAGACCTCTCTCTGTCTCTACCTCTCTCTGTAACTCTTTCAAATAAATAAAATAAATCTTTAAAAAAGACATGTCCTCGCTTGCTCACTCTCTCTCTCTCCTCTCTAATTCTGCCATTAGTGATGTTTGACATCACTAATCATTTGGAAACTGCAAATCAAAATGGCAAGGAGATATTACCTCCTACCAGTCAGGATGACTACCATTTTAAAAACATAGAAAATAAATATTGGTGAAGATATGGAGAAATTAGAACCTTGGTAAGAAATCAGAGCTGCTGGTAAGAATATAAAATAGTACAGCTGCTATGGGAAACAGTGGTGGCTTCTCAAAAAGTTACAAACAGAATGACCGTGTGACCCGGAAATACCAATTCTGAGTATATATCCAAAGAACTGAAGGTAGGGTCTTGTTTAATGGAGTGCTAGTCACCGTTGCCAGAAGATGAAAGCAACCCAAGTGCCCGCCAACAGATGCACATACCACGGACTATTATTCAGCCTTTAAAAGGACAGAAATTCTGACACATGGCACAACATGGAGGAACCTTAAGGACATACTGCTAAGTGACATAAGCCTGTCACAAAAAGACAAGTTCCATATGATTCCACTTACAGGAGTGCCTAGAGTAGTCAAATTCACGGAGACAGACAGTAGCTGGATGGTTGCCGGGGTGAGGTGAAGGGGAGAGTCAATGTTTAACAGGTACAGAATTTCAGTTTGGAAAGATAAAGTTTGTGGATGGATGGTGCAGCAATGTGAACAGGTTTAACACTACTCACCGTTCACTTAACAAGTGGCTAAGACTATTACTTTGGGCATGTGTTTTGCCCTGAGTAAAAGATTTTTTAAATCCAAACTATAATAGTAAGGAGGTATTCATTGTTGAACCTGTCGTATGAGTGAAGATTAAAACATCCAACAATACCCAGTGTACACTGAGTACGTTTATAAACTATCTGAAGAGTCAGCAGTGAGCATTTGGCACAGCACTTACGTCTCCACTTGGGAGGCCTGGATCCCACGTCAGTGCCCAGTTCAAATCCTGACACGTCTGCTTCTGGTGGGTGTACGCCCTGAGAGGCAAGGGTGCTGGCTGAAATATTTAGGCCCCTGCCACCCATGTGGTAGATCTGGATTGAATTCCAGGCTCCTGGCTTAAGCCTGGCCCACCTGGATGTTGGGGCAATTAAGGAGTGAACCAGTGGATGGAGGATCTCTTTGTCTGCCTTTCAGATAGAATGAAAATAAATAAATAATAGAGATTATAAATGCAAGTGAACATTTAAGAGGAAGACCTCATAGTGTCTGACGAGGAGAGGGAGGGGGGAGGGAGAGAGATCCTCCCTCCGTTGTTCTACTCTCAAATAGCTGCAATAGCTGGGCTGGTCCAGGCCAAAGTCAGGAACCAAGAGCTTCATCTAGGTCTCCCATGTGGGTGCAGGGGCCCAAGCACTTAAGACATCTTCCGGTAATTTCCCAGGCCATTAGCAGGGAGCCAGAGGAGAAATGGAGTAGCCAGACTCAATTTGGTGCTCATATGGGATGCTGGTATCGCAGGTGGCGGCTTAACCTGCTGCACCCCAGCGCCGGCCCCGCAGAGCAGTCTAGAGGTAGTCCCAAAGGGACAAGTGGCTCCTGCCTTCCTCCGCCACCGCTGCCCCATCTTTCCCCCAACAAAGGCAATGCTTAGTCTGCCCCAACTCCGGCGCCTCACAGGGCAAAACCAGCGCAGCGGGCAGAGAGCCAGGGCAGGAAGGAACAGAGGAGGCACTCCCAAGAGCTCTTGGAAAATGCACGTCATGAAAAAACTACGTGTGGCTCCCAACTATTTTTTTCACCAACACAAACTCATCTTTTCCCCCAAACCTTTTCAACACAGTCCCACAGTGGAAGGGGGGCTATGTTGCTCCGCTTGATAAGCCAAAGTGCCCGGCACAAGGGGCGAGAGCCCCACGGACAGGGGTGGGGAGTTTTGGGGGCTGGGTGCCAGAGCTTCTGGAGAAGCTGGGCCTGGGGGGACAGGAGGTGAGGAAGGGTCTTTGAGGGGGGTCTCCAGACTCTCCAGGAGACCGGGTGACAGTCCAATTGATTGATGACTACATGGCAGCAGGACAGCACCACACTGGCCCACAGCAGCCACGGTTCGTCGTTGGATTTCACCTGCTCAGGCGACCACAGAGTGACAGCCTCCCACGCCAGGAGCCCCAGCTGTGGAATGGCGTCGGTGGCAGCGGGCAGGAGCTGGCCTCCTCCTCCAGCCCCAGCCCCTCCCCAGCGTCCACCCCGCCTGAGGGCCCACCTCGAATGTGAGATAGTGCTCCTTCAGCCGGCACTCCTCGGCCTCCTTGGACTTGACGCCCCTCTCCACGGGGTGACCCCTGTGCTCTGCCAGCTCTGCAGTCACCTGCCTCAGCTTGTTCTCGTGAGACCGCAGCTGCTCCTCCTGCAAAAGCCAGCCCTGAGCTGAGAGGTCCTGCTTCGGGGACGTCTAACTCTCCTGCCAGGCGCTGCTGCAGCTAGGGGAACCTGAGGCCTGGCCAGGCTCACCGAACACAGGGCTCTGGACCTAAGGAGGGCTCCTGCCCCCCTCCCGCTTACCCTGGCTACCGTGGGCATCCCTTCTTCCCCAGCAGGCTCAGGAGATGGGAACCCTTGTGCTCATGTGTGTCTGGAGACATTCCTGACCCAGACACACCCCCAGCTCATACTAATCCTCATACATACACAAAGACCCTCTGGACCAAGGATTGCCCTTTCTCTGGTCACCCTGGCTCCACGGGACACACACATTCCTTCACATGCATGCCTGGACTCACACCCACAGGCAGTCTGCCACACTGCCAGTGATGGAGAAAGGCACACGCTTCCCGGCCCCAGTACAGCCAGGCCTCTGTGCTTCGTGCACACCTTGCATGTGTGTGGGTGTGTGTGCACAGACCACCTGTCTGCATGCACCTGTGTGCACGTGTGCCATGCAGTGTGCATGTACATGGTGTAGGTGTGTGCATAGTGTGCCCAAACAGAGGCTCTGGGTAGAAATGGAAGCCACCAGGGCTCCGTGGAGAGAATCAGGGCAAGGCCAAGGAGCAAATAGGCCAGCAGCAGCCACAGACAGGAAGTTTCTAAGCTAGAGGGCAGGCTCACTACTCCTCAAGTTCTGGCCACCATTTACCCTTTCCTCTCCAAGAAAACCCTGAAATCCTGGAGCACTGGTGTTCTACAGGTTCCAAGTACAATAGTACCTAAGGGCAGGTGAGGGTAGCACAGAACACCGCATGCAGGGCCAGTGCCGTGCCACCTGTCCCTGGCTCCCCAGGACACACATCCCACACCCACAGGGACACCGCCACTGGCAGAGAAGCATGCACACCGGAAGTGCGATGGGCACCATGGGACGGAGGAGAACTTCTGCCCCGCCCTGGGGTCCCTCAGCCTGGGCCAGGTACCCGGGAGGAGGAGCCAGAGTAGGGGCTGTGGAGTAGGGGCTGTGGGGGCCTGGGCTGGGGGCGGTCTGGGGGGTGGCATCATGAGCACCGGCATTGAACCTGGCAGAGGCGCGTGGTGCAGGAGGGCAGCAGGGGCCGGCAGAACTTCTTCATGGAGCTGACGGCAGCTGGGAAGGCCGGGGCGGAGAAGATGGCAGCCACCAGGTTGATCCTCAGGATCCAGGAGAGCATTTCCTCCTTGCTCCTGGAGACAAGCAGAGGAACTGGGGCTGGACGTGCCTGCAGCTGTGGAGGGAAGTCCCCTTCTGCCCAGCCTGCATGTGCATGTGCAAATCAGTCCTCCCAGGGCCAGAACTCATGGCCCTCCAGCCCACAGGCCCAGGTGATCAGAGAGCGAGGGCAAGGGCCGTCCTGCCACAACCCTCCTGTCCTGCCGGCCACTCGCCCTGCGACAGCAAGGTCACAGCTAGGCTCCACCCACCAGCGTCCCTCCTTTGAAGCTCATCTGACACAAACAACGGCCATGGCCAGTCTCAGAAGGCAGGGGAGCAGGGCAGTGGGAGGAGGGCCTCACGGGCCACCTATTCCTGAAGCTAAGTGTGATGTGGTAAGCGTCCATTGGCTCCCGTGGGCATCTCGGGGCACAGCTGCAAGCTGTCCCAGAGTCTCAGCCTCAGGAGGCCTAAGCCAAGGCCCAAGAGATGGGATTTTTTTTTTAACAGGCAGAGTGGACAGTGAGAGAGAGAGAGAGACAGAGAGAAAGGTTTTCCTTTTCTGTTGGTTCACCCCCCAGTGACCGCTGCAGCTGGCACACTGCGCTGATCCAAAGCCAAGAGCCAGGTGCTTCTCCTGGTCTCCCATGGGGTGCAGGGCCCAAGCACTTGGGCCATCCTCCACTGCACTCCCAGGCCACAGCAGAGAGCTGGCCTGGAAGAGGGGCAACCAGGACAGAATCTGGCACCCTAAGTGGGACTAGAATCCGGTGTGCCAGCACCACAGGCGGGGGGTTAGCCTATTGAGCTGCAGCGCTGGCCAAGAGATGGGATTTCTAACCAGCTTCCAGGTGCCACTTGTGACCACACTGTGTCTCCAGCTGCTGGATTGTGTCAGGGGACACACTTGTACCATGACTGATGGGCAGGGGGCACCGGGAGTCTGTCCTAAGGAGGGGGAGGGTGGGAACCAGGGGGCTCCAGCTCCCACTTACGGTGCCTGGAAGAGGAAGACCCTCCAGTCGGCTGTCTTCAGCTTCAGCACATGAGACTTCTTGCTGTAGTCAGAGGCCCTGGTGGCCAGGGCGTGGTGCACGCGAATGGCGTTCTTCAGGTCGCCCTCCGACAGTGCTTTGTCAGGCCTGTACTCATCCTGGCCAGGGACGGGATGGGCAACCTCTGTCGGCATCAGCCCCAGCTTCCTGGCCCACACTGCCCACCACGCGCCCTCCCTGCCTCTCCTTCCATCTCTTAGTTCCTGCTGCCAGGCTGCCTAAGTTACCCCAAAGAGAATTTCCTGGCACCATCCCTGGACCCTGGGCTGTCCCTGTTTAGGCCTCACACTGAAATCCACTGAGCCACGTTAGGCATTTTAAACACCGCTCCCCCGAAACCTCCAAAGCCCTGAGTGAGCCTGAGTCAGGCCCTGCTGGGGTTAGTTCCGACATCTGTTACACCCAAGGCCCTGCCCAGGACCCTCAGTATCACAAGGCAGAGCCTGGACAGGAATGAGTTGGGCTTTCCTGGGAAAGGACTCAGGGCAGTGCCTCACCTTCTGTAAGTACAGGATGGTCCCTTTGAGCACCGCGTAGAATTTCTTCCAGCCACGCCTCCCACGGGGCGCTGGGGAGGGGGGCACAGGTAGTGTGGCCGCAACCACCCACTCCAACATCTCTACCCTGCCTCCCCCTGTGTGCCCACCTGTGTGTACACCCCCGAAGGAGTAGCCAACAGGTGGGCCCCCTCTGTGCCAACATCCCGCCCCGTGCCCACTCCCCAGCCTGACACCCACTCCTCTTGCCATCCATGTCGGCGTGGGTCTTCCGGGTGAGCACGCCATGCTTGTAGGTGGTGGCGCTGAGAGCCTGTGGGACATCCAGGAAAGGGTTGCCACCATCCAGGATCCGTGTCACCTTCTTCGTGCCTGTCCCAAACTTGTCATCCACCAGCTCAGACAGGGACTTCCTCAGCTCGTCCTCATCACTAGAAAAGCACTGGGCCTGAGCACCACCTCCATGAAGGCCTCAGCCCTGCATCCTCATGGACTTGCCCAGCAACCACCATTCTAGGAGCCGGGGCCAGAGGGAAAGAGCAGCCCCCAGGAGGCAGAGATGAGAAAGCTCCCATTCAGATCAGATCTCTGACCCCTCCTCTGAGTCTTCAATTCTTCTTTTTTTTTTTTAAGAGTTATTTTATTTTTGAAAGGCAAAGTTACAGAGAGAGAAAGGGAGAGAGAGAGAAAGAGATCTTCCATCTGCTGGTTCACTCCCCAGATGGCTGCAACAGCCAGGGCTGGGCTAGGCCAAAGCTAGGAGCTAGGAGTTTCATCCATGTCTCCCACATGGGCACAGGGCCCCAAGCACTTGGGTCATCTTCCGCTGCTTTCCCAGGTGCATTAGCATAGAGCTGGATGAGAAGTAGAACAGCCAGGACTTGAACCAGCTCCCATATGGGATACTGGTGCTGCAGGCGGCAGCCTTACCCCCTTAAGCCACAGAACCAGCCCCTATTCTTCAGTTCTGACCCCTGACCTCTGATCTTTTATTTTTGACCTCCAAGGTCCAATCCTCACCCTAGATCACAGTTTAAGACTTCACTATTTTTAGGTCTCCTTCTCAGTCTTCATTCTCCTCCATCCAACACTGAAAGCCCAGCCCAGGGGCATTAACCCACAGCCAGACTGATGTCAGGCACAAACCCCACCAACAGCGGTGGCATTTGGCCTAGCAGTTGGGACACCCGCATCCCAAACGAGGGTGGCCTGGGTTCTATGCCCAACTCCACTCCTGGGTCTATCTTCCTGCTAATATGGATCTTAGGGAACAACAAGTGATGACTCAAGTATTTCGGTCCCTGCCACCATGTGGGACACCTGGATGGAGTTCTTAGTTCCCAGCCCAGTCATTGCAGCCTTTCAGGGATGAACTAGTGAATGGAAGCTATCTCTGTGTCTATCACTGATTCAAACAACAACAAAACAAGAAATCACCAACATGCTGGCAGAGGGCAAGCCAGGGGAGGGTCTTAGAGTTTGGACCCCATGAGAGCCCTGGTGGAAGAGGAGTTTGGGCTTCTGACAATCCCTGCCTGGGGCCTCTACGCAGATCTGAAGGTGCAGCTGCCCCGGGAGGCACAGCAGGGAGAGACTCACACTCTCCCCCAACAAGCAAGATCACCACCGCACTTTCTGGAAGGCAGTACCTCCAGCCTCACTGCTTTCACAGAAGTCAGGAAGTAGCGACCACCAAAGCATGGTGCTACTCTCGGGGCCAGAGGGGGCCTGAGCCTCTCACCTGCTTACCTCTCAAAGGGGAAAGAGCTGTCATCATTGGGAATGTGGCAAATATCCCAGTACAGAAAGCTAACTATAAGTATCAGAGCACTGTGAACACCGCACACTTTTCCCAAGACAGAAAATAAACCAAGGGAAACTCCTCGACACTGGGTGTTGATTTGCTGAACAGGCTTGGTCAGTGCTCTGGGCTGGAAGAAATCAGCACCATGGAGAGTGGTCAGAGCGCCTAACCCCGCCCCAGCCACACCCCATCCAAGGATGCGGTCTCCCCACACCTGTGCCCTTGGGCGCTACTCACATGGCCCATTCCAGCTTTTCATTCTTGATGGAGTTGTAAAGGGACTGGAAGAGGGAAAGAGAGAGGGGTTGAGGTGAAGATTCAAAAAAAATCCCCATCTACCTACTGCAATGTGGGTGTGCTGAAAGTTCCTTTTCAACCAACGGGACAAAGGGAGTGCTTGATTCACACTTGTTTGTTGGATGCATGTAAGTGTGAGTGATACTTAATTGTGTCATCTTTTAAGTCTGTCTCCTCTAGGTGACTGTAAGCTTCACAAGGACAGGAGATGTTTTTCTTGTCCACCACTGAACCCTGAGTGCATAATCCAGAACTCAATGCGTGGTAAGTACTTAACAAGGTAGATGGGTGATGGATGTGGGAATGGATAGGTGGAATGCAGGAGGAAACAGACGGCTGGATCAGTGAAGGGAGAATATGAGCGGACGGGAGATGTCTCAGGGGTATTAGAGTGGGTGGGTGGGTGTATGGGTGAGGGCAGGGCTGCACGGATAAACGAGAGGGTAACTGGGTGAACAGATTTGAGGATGACAGAGTGGACGGGTTTGTCAGTAGGTGGATAGAGGCATGGAAATGGGTGGGTGGGCACATGAGTGAGTGGATGTGGCCTATTATGGGGGAGTGTTTAAGGATGCATGGAGGTGTACGTGTAGTGACCGTGTGAATGAGTGAAGAGTTAGTGTATACAGAAGTGCTACAGTTTGAACAGGATTTGAGTCCCCAACTCACGCAGATGTTTAAATTCCACCATCTGTTAGTGATTGTGATTAAGGGGTGAGGCTTCCCCCAGTTATGGTCTCAAGGTAGGGAGGTGTATACATTAGGTTAGGTTGCTAGAGTAGAGCCCCAAAATCAAATCACACAGACACAGAGGGACAGTAGGACTCTTGTCTATCTCTCTGCTGGCTCCCCATGTGGACCACCCTCTGCATGCCCTCATCCATGGAACACCCTCAGCTGATGGCAGACGAATGGGGTTACCCAATCTTGCACTATAAACCTACATAACTAGAAGCTGAAATAAACCTCCTTTCATAAGGAGCTCCTCTTAGGTATTTTAGTTGGAGAAGTTAAAAGCTGACTAATTCAGGGGGAATGCTGCAGGCATTTGTGTGGGTGATGGGTGAATGGCTGAGTATAAGGGTAGGTGACTGGTGGCTTCATAGATGGATGGACAACGAATGCACGCATGGGACGATGAGTGACTGGATGGAAAGTGAATAGATGGCAACAAGTGGATGGGTGGGACTAGGATTGTTTGATCCCACAAACGTGTTCTTAGCAAGTGCTTCTCGACTGTGAAGAAAATAATTATGGGAAGAAAAGATGGAGAAAGAATTCTAGTTTTTAACAGATATATAGTACTTGTATATATTTACCTCCAGACTCACTAGGCAACATCCTCCCTGATACTGCCAGGCCCTTCAAACCCATGATCTAAAATGAACTTATCATCTCCCATCTCCCTGCCCCCTCCCCAAAAAAAAATAACCCTGTTCCTCTTCCTCCAAAGTAAAGAACTGACCAAGCTGGCAAAGTCAAGAGCTCCAGCTTGGGCTTAACTGTCAAAAGAAAACGGGACTCTCTTAATTCCCAGTGATGTGGGAGGAATGAGTGGGCTTTTCCCTTTGGTGGTGATGACAATGAAGGCAGGGCTGAAGGTGGAGGTGATGTCTGGCAGCTGTGACAATTGGGGGTCAGTGTGGATTATCACCTTGACCACAGTAATGATTATGGGGTATTAAAATGTCTTGTAAGTCTACCATTCTTGCTAACTCAGGGAACACAGAGCAGTCAAATGCTGAACTAGATGGCCTCTCATTCTGTACCCAAATCATGGAAGTCGGGGCAGAGACTTCTCTCCACCACCCAGGGCTTGGCAAGGGGCAAAGGGACCTTCAGCAGGTGATACCTTCAGCAGATCTTTGGCAAAGTCTTGGCCATCATTCAGCTGGTCCAAGTTGGCAATGAACTGTTGGCAGGACATCTTCTTACCAATATTCTGTAATGGAGAAACGGTTCTACCTGAGAGTAGGGAAGGAGGCTGGTGTGGTCCCCATACCTGCCCTGCCCAGCCAGGAAGGGTGAGGCAGCACGAAGGGGAGTAATGAAATTAAAACTGCCTGGATTTTCCTTGGTTGCCAAGAGTTTACAAAAATTCCTTCCCGCATTCAAGATCCTATTTGATCCTCAAGCATCATGAGAGGTGGGACTCTCCTCAGACCTCATGAAGGAGTCAGGTTTGGATGAAATACTGTGATAGCTGCATTGACCAGGTGCCTGCCATGTTCCAGGTATGATACTCGACATGCATTATCTTATTTCTTTCTCCATTTGACAGGTAAGGAACGGGTGCAGGAAGGTGAAGTGATGTGCCCGTGATCACACAGCAAGGATGTGGAAGGGGCCAAGTGCATCCGACACCAAAGCCCATGCTCTCACCCGCTACTCCACGGTTAACTCTCCCAGGGTCACTCAGCACCAGGACTTGAACCCAGGCCTCTTGGCTCCTGAGCAGAAGCTCTGTGTTCCGTCACACCTGTCTCACCCTCTCACCTGCACAGAGGGGCAGCAAGACCTCCAAGAGGTAGGTGAATTGAAGGAGAGTTTGGTCTTATGAAAGTCAAAAACCAATTTCTACCAACACATAGGGGTACCACATGCTGGGCAGGACTGGACAAAGGGAACCCCGCATGTGGTTTCCCTCCTGCAGGCACAAACAGCTGTGAATGACTGTGCCCTCAGGCTCCACCGGCTTTTCTTAACCACTGAGCAGCAGACGGGCTTGACCCCTCCCAACCTAGCAGCACACGTGCTGTTCCTACTGCCAGGCTCTCCCTGCAGTGTCCACATTTGGGAAAACACTGGGTGGCATTTCATCTTTGGGAGGCCTTGTGGATCTGGATTTGCTACAAGGCAGTACTCCCCAAGATTCACCTACAGAACCCTGGTATCCCTTGAGACAGGAATGAGTATTCTCTTGAAAAGTCATCTGTACATCAAATATGCTAATTTATACTTCTGTCTTTAACATGCTTAGGTGTGTTGGGAGCCTCCAACAGTTTCCCAAATTTATTGACCTTGACACCATTTTATCAAATAGAGTCCATTAACGCCAGGTGGGACATTCATACGCCACACACATCATTTGGAAAATAATGCCATGAGTCTTCATACGACAAACACCTTTTCCAAAGGTTTAAGGAGGAAAGATTCTGCATGTGCCTTGAAGTAAGCATGACTCACATGTTTACATGTTTGTTTTATAGCTATGTAACTGTGCCTGTCCATGTTTGTAAGTACATAGCCATGCGTGTGTGTGTGTGTGTGTGTGTGTGTGAGAGAGAGAGAGAGAGAGAGAAGCATGAGAGCAGTGTTGTAACACTGCCTTTGAATTCTCCACACACCGAATGTTGCCCATGCAAGAGTTCCAACCCTAGTAGTGAAAGACAACTCGTCTCAACTATGGTCAAACATTAATGAAGCATCTGTATGAAGGCACTGGAGGAACAGGAAAGAGGCGAGGACTTCAAGGGTGAAGCTCCTGCCAGGGGGACCCCAGCCAGAGCACCTGCCTTCTTGAAGCACCTGTCATCCTCAAGCGCTGGCCACAAAGTGGTATCACAGGATGGGACAACAAGCATTAGAGTTCAGGGAACACGAACGACAAGGGGCTCTGGGAAGCATCCCATGGTAATGCAACTGAAAACTGAAGTTAGGATAGGAAGCATAAAGGAAGCTCTCCAGTCGGAAAGCTACCCCACACGGAAGCCTTGAGAAGCAGAAGGGACTAACGAACAGAGAGGGGGTAACTCTAAATGAATATTAAATAGTGACTGTGTCGGAAAACGCTCAAGTTTCCCAGGGAATAAAATATACAGAGGTATAATACCTTAAAGTGTAACAGTTGTGTGTGTGTTGAGAGAGCAGTAAATGGAATTAGAATATTTTAAGGTATTTCACTGCCCAGGAAGTGGCAGAAGTACTTTTATTAACCAGGGATGCACACCACATACCACAAAATTCTGAAAGAATGTATAATGAACAAACAAGAGAAGAAAATGGAATCAGAAAAGAAACTTAAATAATCCAAAAGTAGGCAAGAAAGGGGACAAAAGAAATGCAGAACAAGCTAGTCAAAGAGAAGACGGTAGGCCGGCGCCGTGGCTCACTTGGCTAATCCTCCGCCTGCGGCACTGGCACCTGGGTTCTAGTCCCAGTTGGGGCACTGGGTACTAGTCCCAGTTGCTCCTCTTCCAGTCCAGCTCTCTGCTGTGGCCCGGGAGGGCAGTGGAGGATGGCCCAAGTCCTTGGGCCCTGCACCTGCATGGGAGACTGGAAAGAAGCACCTGGCTCCTGGCTTTGGATCTGCGCAGCGCCGGGGCATGGCAGACATTTGGGGAGTGAACCAATGGAAGGAAGACCTTTCTCTCTGTCTCTCTCTCTCTCTCTCTCTCTCTCTCACTGTCTATAACTCTACCTGTCAAATTAAAAAAAGAGAGAGAGAGAGAGAGAGAAGATGGTAGCCTGGGATATTTAAATGGAAATGTATCACAATTTATGAAATAATTCAATTAAAGATGATTATCAGGTCTGATTTTTAAAACATAGATGACACATACCTTAAATATAAAGGAAGAAGAATCTTGGATGCAGAAAGAAAAGGATAGACTATGCAAACTCTAATCAAGCAACTCCAGTATAATTACATTAATGTCTGAAAAAAAAGATCTGAAGACAAGAAGCATTACTAGATATAAAAATGGACATTTTCACAATGATAAAAGCTCAGTCCACCAGGAAGCACAACCATCCTAAATCTATATAACACCAAATAGCACAGCCTCAGAATATACAATACAAATTTTACAGAACCAAGAAAAGATATATTCACAACAGCAATTAGAGATTTTAACACTGTTCTTTCAATAACAAAAGGACAGACAGACAAAAAATTAGCAAGAATAGGGGCACAGTCGATTAAGCCACCTCCTCCAATACTAGCATCCCATATGAGCACTGGTTCAAGTCCCAGATGCTCCACTTCCAATTCAACTTCCTGCTAATGTACCTGAGAAGGGAGCAGAAGATGGCCCAAGTATGGAGTCCCTGTACCCATGTAGGGACCCAGAGGGAATTCCTAGCTCCTGGTTCAGCTTGGCTTAGTCCCAGCCATTGCAGCCACTGAGAGAGTGAACCATCACATGGAAGATCTCTCTCCCTCTCTCTCTGTAACTCTGTTTTTCAAATCAATAAATATTTTATATAAAAAAAGAAAAAGCAAGAATATTAATTAATGACAAAAAATTAGATAACCTGGGCAAAATAAATATGTTGTTAGAAGCACAGAGACTACCAAAACTGGTTCAAGAAGTAGAAAATCAGCCCTAAAACAAGTAAAGATACCAAATCCACAATCAGAAACCTCCCAATAAAGAAGTCAAAGGCCAGATGGCTTCACTGGTGAATTTTAAAGGACATTTAAATAAAAATCAACACTAATCCTTTTCAAACTCTTCCAGAAAACTGAAGAGCAGGAAGCACTCCCTAGCTCTTTCTACAAGGCCACCATTACCCTAACACCAGAGCCAAAGACCACAAGGAAAGGACAAATCAATATCTTTTATTAACATAGATGCAAAAACCCTCCATAAAACACCAGCACACCGTTCCAACAGCTTTATTCAATGGCCAAGTGAAATGTACCTTAGGAATTCAAAGCTGACCTGACACACAAGAATCTAACATTGTAATATAACACAATAACAGAATAAACGGGGGTGGGGGTGGGGGGACACATGACCATCTTATTTGATGGCGAAAAGCATCTGACAAAATTCAAATCCCTTTCATGATAAAAAGCATTAAACAAACCAGGACTCTAAGGAAAACCCTTACCATGACAAAGGCACTCAGGAGAAGCCCACACCTGACATTCTCCTCGTGCTGAAAGACTGAAAGCTTTGCACCCTTGGGTCAGGAACACGGCAGAGATGCCGCCTCTGCCACTTCTATTCAGCGCTGCAGTGAGAGATTTAACCAGAGCCACCAGCACGGAGAAGAAACAAAAGACACCTGACTGGAAGGCTAGAGGTCAAATTATGTCAGTTCACCGATGACATGATCTTACACATGGAAAATCCTAGAATTCCACACACGAAAGAAAAGTGCAGAAACTAGTAGACAAATTCAGTGATCGTGCAGGATACAAGAACAGACTACAACTATAAAACTCTTAAAAGATAACATAAGGGTAAATCTTTTTTAAAAAAAGATTTCTTTCTTTATTTATTTGAAAGGCAGAGTTACAGAGAGGCAGAGAGAGAGAGCGAGAAGTCTTCCATCTGCTGGTTCACTCCCTAAAGGGCCACAAAAGCACCAGCTGGGCCAATCCGAAGTCAGGAGCCAGGAGCTTCCTCCAGGTTTCCCACACAAGTACAAGGGCCCAAGGACCTGGGCCATCTTCTACTGCTTTCCTAGGCCATTAACAGAGAGCTGGATTGGAAGTGGAGCAGCTGGGACTTGAACCGGAGCCCATATGGGATGCCAGCACTGCAGCGGAGGCTTTACCCGATACCACAGCACCGGCCTCAGGGCAAATCTGTATGACCTTGCATCTGGCAATGGTTTCTTATATATGACACCAAAAGCATGGGCAACCAAAGAAAAAATAAACTGGACTTCACCAAAATTTGAAACAATACCAAAAGAGAAAGATTTGCAGATTACATATGATAAGGGTCTAACATCTAGAATACATATAAAGAAGTCTTAGAATGCAGCAAGGAAAAGACAAACAACCCAATTTTTAAGTGGACAAAGGACACGAACAGACATTTCTCCAGAGAAGACACACAACTGGTCAACAAGCACATGAAAAGACGCTCAACACCATCAGTTGTCAGAGAAATGCAAATCAAAACCACAATGAGGCACCACTTCACACTTACTAGAATGCCTGTAATTTTAAAAAAGAAAAAGAAGAGTTGCTGAAGACGTGCAG